TGGCTCTGGGGGCCTCATGTCCCCCAGCTCCCCATGCTCTCCCAGCATCAGGAAACTCAGGACATCCCCAAATCCCTCACTGAGGATGGGAAAGGGCCACGAGGGCCTTGCAGAAACTCTTCCAAATCCTCAGCCCAAGCAGCAAAGCTGACATCACCTCTGGGACTGGGGTGTCTTGGTTGAGATGGTCAAACACAAATCAATACTCCATTTTCCGAAGGCTTCAAACCATTTGTATTATATTATGCATGCTTTTGTACATTCTTACAAAACTCCTAAATATGCACTTATTGGTCACAAGAGACAAACAAAGTGCTCATTGCAATAGGCACTTTCAGGTTGCTCTTATTTCTCCTTTCTTTCTCAGTTTCTATTTCAAGGACATTGGTAGGAGATTCCTTCAGAGGTGAACAGACTTGCTCTTCTATTAAGAGGTGAACAGAGGTGCTCTTCTTCTCAAACTTCTCTCTGGCTCACAGAAGTCACTGTAAAATCTTTTCCACACAGGACTGGGAATGGTCAGTCCCATGGAAAGGTGCAGGGAAATGCAGGATGAGCTCTGCATGTCCCAAGTGTCCTGGCATGTCCAGCTGGAGGTGGTGGCAGCTGTGAAGGGAGGAGACAGACCCAAGCGGATCTTGCCCAGTCTTGTCTCCATGCCATGGAATGAGAACAGGGTTTGGTTCTGTGGAGGTCTTGGAGCAGAAGCTTTGGGTTCCCATCCCCCTGAGGTCCCTTCTATTGCCTATTTATCTGCCTGAGAATTTCTTCCCTAATTAACACCAAAACACCTCTGGGTTTGGGATTTCAAATTTTCTATAAGTTCTTGTAGATCCATTGTAGACCGTATTATTTCATCCTCTGTTGCATTGAACTCTGAAACAAACAGAGCTGCTGCTACAGAAAACAGGTTTAAAATGACCCAGGAATTCTTAGTAATCAAGGAAAAAATTAGTGTCTAATGTCACAGAAAATCAACAAAATGAACATGTATGAACCTATTGTAAAATTGCATCGATATGTATTTGAGAGGGAAATAGAAAAGGATCTGGAGGTCCCAAAGGCACATGTGTCCTATTAAGAGAAACGATTCCCATACGCGTCCAGTAATAAACATACCAGCTTTACAACTTTCGAAGAGTTGCAGAGTTTGTTTGTTTCCACAAATCATCAGGTCCCTCAGGGAGCTCTACTCGCCCCCCAGTCCCCATGGCCTGGAGACTCCAGGTATCCCTCAGGGTGTCCCAAGGGCAGGGGGCTGGCAGTGGGCCCAGAGCAAAAAACAGCCAAGAGAGGCGGTGACCTTTGCAATGCGAGGCAGTTTTTGTTGCCGTGCGGGGCTGGGGGG